TATGATTCTTTAAGATTGATATGTTTTCAAAATATCATTACCATTCGAAAAAAACATTAGTGGAAAATCGAGCTGGTCCTATCTGAGTTTACCTTTTGTGTCTCTTGGCACCTAATTTATTTTTGGTCCATTGCAATCTTCTTACTATTTCAGGTTATCCAACTAACAATACCCAAATTACCCTTACCCGTCCATCTAGTTCGTTACAAGCTTCACTCATAGAGGAACCATTTTGTAGTTGTGGACAGTGATACACAGAAGCTCCGGCGGCAAGAAAAGTCTCGGTGAATATATCCCGGCGAGTCGTAAGGCCCCACATGAGACAAGATTTATCTCCCTAAAAGAATAAGTGGAAGAATCATAGGATAAAAAAAAATATTAGTACATGAGATTTGGTTTTAGGAAGGATATTTGAGAATGTGCTTTGTGAGGAGGCATCATCAGTAGTAGGAGCAAGCAAGCCAAGTCAAATGTGTTCTTCTCTTTCTCTTTCTATGCCTTTTATTTTGTCCACTATAAAAACAAACCTCCTCCTCCTCTCTTGCCCTACACTCAACAAAACAAACACACTCTCTTCTTCTCAAGTTTGAAGGACTTAAGAGAGAAAACAAATGGTGAAGTTCACTAAGCAATTTGAGGGTCAGCTTGTGCCTGAATGGAAAGACGCATTTGTCGACTACTCTCAGCTCAAGAAAGACCTCAAGAAAATCCATTTGTTAACTAATGAAGTTGAGAAGAAACACACAGAAACAGAAACAGAAACTTCACTCATCAAAACCATCAAGTCCTCTTTAGGAAAGCTTTCCTTTTTTGGTAACAAGGAACGTGAACGCTCTCGTGCCATCAAAGTACTAAAACTAACCTCCATACTTTGTGATTTATCATCATTTTTTTTTTTTTTTTTTTGAAACACAAGTGATGTGATTTATCATCAACTATTCATTTTTTTTGTATTAATGATTTTGATATTTTTTTGAATAGGTTCATAGAAAGCTTGCCTCTTCTGGAAGTAAAGGTGACGTGTATGAGACGGAACTGCTAGAGAAGGTTGCTGATGATACCGATGCTGCCAAAGAATTCTTCATTTGTCTGGACACACAGCTTAACAAAGTGAATCAATTCTACAAGACAAAGGAGAAAGAGTTCTTGGAGAGAGGAGAGTGTATGAAGAAGCAAATGGAGATACTCATTGAGCTCAAAGATGCTTTCAAACAAAAGCAAGCCAATGGAGAGTCTCCTCAAGAATCAAAAGAAGATGACTACATATCATGCACCATCTCATGTGGTAATAAGAAATATATTATACAACCATACAAAATCTTGATTTCAACAATTTCTTTAATAATTTTTCTCAAAAAAAAAAGAATTGGTTTAATATTAGTTTTCTCTATTTCTTGAAACAGAAGAAGACTCTCTTAGGAGCAGAACAGAACTTCAAGAATCTTGCTTAGAGGATTTGGAGAACAATGGGACAGAACCATTGGAGTCTCCTAAATCAGAAGAACCAATCAAAATCAACAAAGAGGACTCAAAGCTGAGGACCGTCTCTGGTAGAGTTTTCAGCTGCCAGGGAAAGAATCTCAAGATAAAGATTCCACTGACAAACCCTTCTCGTACATTCTCAGCTATAAGTTACATGATCAAAGAAGATTTAATGAACCAATCATCTTCAAAGAAATGTGGTCAAGATGGTGTAAACAAGCTGAGAATCAGCAAGAAAACACTAAATCACGCCGAGAAAATGATCAAAGGAGCTTTGACAGAGCTCTACAAAGGGTTAAATTATCTAAAAACTTACAGAAACTTGAACATGTTAGCCTTCATTAACATTCTCAAAAAATTCGATAAGGTAAGCTTTAAAACAGAGCATTTTTTTCGATATTATTTTCTATAAAGATTTATAAGACCTATATACTTTCATGTTTCAGGTTACTGGAAAACAAGTCCTTCCAATTTATCTCAAAGTGGTTGAAAGTTCTTACTTCAACAGTTCAGACAAGGTAGCTAAAAACTCTACTTTAGATTTTTAGTTTTTCATGTTTGTGCAAGCGGAAAATCGACACCTACACTCTTGTCTTATCACTTTTATCATATACTTTTTTTCATGATTGTAATCTTGGGACATGACAGGTGATAAATCTAGCAGAAGAAGTTGAAGAATGGTTCATCAAGCACTTCGCAGGAGAAAATCGCAGAAAGGCAATGAAATATCTGAAACCGCACCACCGTAAAGAGTCTCACTCTGTCACCTTCTTCATTGGTGAGACTTTTTTTTTTAACTTTAATACTTCACCAGTAGATATTGTGACATTTTTTTACTTTTGCACTTGCAAACATAAAAATCTTTTTGTTAGACCAACCAAAAATGAAAAAAAAAAGTTATTGGACCCCATGAGACACAAACACATTAGGATTTCCACAAATGTAACCTTTAAGTTTTATTGGGTGGACAACTAAGAGCGTCACGTTCTGTTATACTCTCTGTTGCATAACATTATCTTGTCTGCTGAAGAATCTTTGTATAATCAAACGTTCTTGTTTGAGATTATATGGGTTTTTGGTTTGATCTTGTCCTTAAAATTTAATCTCTATTCAGGTCTATTCACTGGTTGCTTTGTTGCACTTCTTGCTGGCTACATCGTTATGGCTCATCTGACTGGAATGTATAAAAAAACTTCTGAGAACACTTTCTACATGGAAACTGCATACCCTGTACTAAGGCGAGTTGTTTAAATAAAAACTTAAAGACTAATGATTATGGTTAATATATATATATATATATGAGAGATTAATCAAATAGAAGTTAATGCTAATTTGATGTTTTTTTGTGTGTTTGCAGCATGTTTGGGCTCTTGTTTCTACACTTATTCTTATATGGATGCAACATATTTATGTGGAGAAAAGCGAGGATAAACTATAGTTTCATATTCGAACTTGGGTCTGAAAATGAGCTCAAGTTTAGAGATGTTTTCTTGATATGTACAGCTTCAATGTCTGTGATAACCGGTGTCATGTTTGTTCATCTCTTGCTTCTTGCAAAAGGTTACTCCGTTGGACAAGTTCAAGTGATCCCTGGCTTTTTATTACTGGTAATTAACAAACACTAATCACTCTTTATCATGTGTTCTTTTTGTAAATGTGTAATCTATACATGTTTGGATTTTTCTTGCAGGTCTTCTTCTTAATACTGATTTGTCCCTTAAACATTTTCTACAAATCAAGTCGTTACCGGCTTATATCAGTCATCAGAAACATTGTTTTTTCACCTCTTTACAAAGTCGTGATGCTCGATTTCTTCATGGCTGATCAACTCTGCAGCCAGGTAATAACCTGAGCTAAGAATCTGATCTTTTACATAAACCCTGAATCAAAACCTGATCTTAGAAAATGGGTTAACTGATAGGTACCGATGCTAAGGAACCTAGAATACATAGCCTGCTACTATATAACAGGTAGCTACGCAACACAAGACTATGGATATTGTATGAGAGTCAAGTACTACAGAGATCTCGCATATGCAGTTTCCTTCCTCCCATACTACTGGAGAGCAATGCAGGTAAAAATCAAAAAACATCCTTGCTTATTCCCCAAGTTTCTGTTTCTTTTCTCACAAGTTAGGGTTTCACTTTATAAAATACTAAAAAAATCTCTGCCACAGTGTGCAAGGAGGTGGTTTGACGAAGGAGAAACGAGCCACCTAGTGAACCTAGGGAAGTACGTGTCAGCGATGTTAGCAGCAGGAACCAAAGTGGCTTATGAGAAAGAGAGGAGCATTGGTTGGCTCTGCCTTGTAGTGGCTATGTCAAGTATTGCCACAATTTACCAATTGTATTGGGACTTTGTAAAAGACTGGGGTTTACTCCAACGCAATTCCAATAACCCTTGGCTTAGAAATCAACTCATGCTTCGCCAAAAATATATTTACTACTTCTCTATGGTACAATTCCTAAGTCTTTTACACACAAATATATAACACATGAATCTAGTGAAAAATGTTATTAATTATACTCTACGATTATTCTGTTTTGTAGGTTTTAAATCTAGTTCTGAGGTTGGCATGGCTACAAACAGTTTTGCACTCAAGTTTTGAGCATGTGGATTATAGAGTTACAGGATTGTTCTTGGCTGCTCTAGAAGTTATTAGGAGAGGGCATTGGAACTTTTACAGGTAAAATTCATCTCTCTTTTGGTATCAGATTCAGGATTATATATACTGATAAACAAAACCATTGTTGCAGGTTGGAGAATGAGCATCTAAATAATGCAGGGAAGTTTCGAGCTGTGAAGACAGTACCACTTCCTTTCAGAGAAGTTGATGAAGAAGAGTGAATCTGATGGAATAGATTATCATTATTATTAGTAGCTTTGTCAGAGATTTGAAAGAAGAAGGGAGCAGAAGTATTTGTTATTTTCTTGATCAACCATATATTTGTGATCTGATCAAGAATCTTTTAAATTATTGTTATTATTATTCTTGTCCGAATGTAACTAAACTAAAGAATCTTACTTCTCCCTTTCTTTCCAATGTTCTTAGCCAAAAAAAAACTTGTAAAAAAGAGGAATAATTAGAGTGATATCGAGCAATATGCTTTGGTCTACTTATTAAAATCTTAGATTGTTTAATAGAATTATGAAGACTGAAATTTTAAAATCTACATTAAAAAATTATATAATTCAAATCTTACTTTTCTAAAAAATATTCTAGCAAAAATAATCCACTAATCATTTTTATAAAATCAGTATTTTATAAATCGAAATAATATGTAATATTTATATATGTGATTCTAAAATATGCAACAAAATTAAGTTATTTAAAACTAAAAAGACCATGATTTTGCAAACCAAATTATTACGAACAGAGTTAGATTTTTTTTATAAATCCACGTGGTCGAATCTGAGACGTTAACTGTAAAAATCAACGGCGACCGTTCCTCCGTTCTAAACCTTACCACTATTTTACCTTCTTCGATAGATGCAAAACAGAGACAATGACGCAAAACATGGCGAATACGGTGGCCGGTTTATCTCCGGTTATCGCTCCATTTCATTCTCCGATAACCAACCGGAAGCCAATCAGTTTCTACAAGCCGCGCCTTCTCTCCTACAAGCAAAGCCCTATATCGTCTCTACACAGGTCCTAAGCTTAACTCTCTCAACTTCTCTTACCTTCACGTAAAATGCCCGAAAGACTCATCCTTTTTGTTGTTTCTCCAGCTCGAGAACTGGTCGTGTGATAGAGGTGACACGTAAGCAAAGGAACCGGTTGTGTTCTGTTTTTGGGTCTCTCACTGATGAAGAAGAATCAAAGGATTCCTCAGAGGTAGTTCAATGAAGTTGTGTCTTAATGGTGTTTCTGTCTCTTGTCTGAGACTTTGGTATTATTTGTATAGGGACAGGTTGCTTCAGTAGATATTAAACTACCAAGAAGAAGTTTGCTTGTGGAGTTTAGTTGCAACTCATGTGGAGAAAGAACAAAACGGCTTATCAATCGTCTGGCTTATGAACGTGGTCTTGTCTTTGTCCAGGTAAGACTTTGCTTCTGTTTTGCTTAAATTTCTAAGAGAGATGTGTTTTTTTATATGAATCTTGAAGAAGTTGAGGAGACACAAAAGTTTGGCAGTGTGGTGGATGTCTTCAGCATCATAAGCTGGTTGACAATCTTGGTCTCATTGTTGAGTATGACTTCCGCCAAGAAACCTCCAAGGATTTGGGTTTAGATCAAGTTTGATAAAGCTTGAATCAGTTTTGTTCTTTTTTCTATCAGATATGTTATTTAAAGCATGATAACTACTTAACTAGTGAGCTATGTTCAGCTAAGAATACAACAGAAGAATGGTATTGTTTTTTGAATCAATGTGTTAGTGTAGACATGGGGAAAAATGTAGCAATAATAAACAAGCTTCTGACAAATGAATATATAACTCAAACCTAAAACATTCATGTGTTTCAATAGAAAGTGTGCATTAACATTACAATCACTGGCATTACAATGAACCAATCAACCCGGTCGTCAGATTTTAACAAAGAACAGAGGACATGAATATATACAATTCTGAACAGATCAGATGCAAAAGTTGTACCGTGGTTTGGCTGCGTTAAGGATTTGGAGGTAGGCTTCTACAGACAGAAGAAGGGTAAGATTTGATGCATCTTATTGAGGAGTTTCGCCGGATGATGATGATGGTGATGTTCGGTAGGAGCGGGTGTTTCTGTGTTCTTGTCTTTCTTCTTTCTCCTCAGCTGGAAAAACTGCTGCATCGTCTGTGCACATTCTGATTCCAGAACTCCGCGGCGGATGGTCATCTTTGGATGGAACGGGTGAACCGGAGGCGGTGGCTTTTCTGAAACTTCTGATCCATTTCCTTCGCCTCCAGGGAAAAGCCTGAAACGTATAACCCTGTTCAATGACTTTGACTCCGTAATGATGTTCCAGAACAACATTTCTCAGTTTTAGAAGTTACCTGATCCAACTGCCATCTGCTCCTAGAAGCTTATTGGGAGCTCCCCAGACGAGAGTGTTGACCCTTGCTTGAAGTATTGCTCCCGCACACATTGGGCATGGTTCTAGTGTTACATAAAGTGTTGTATCCTGTTTGAAGAATAGGCAAGTCAAACAAAACGTATCAAACCCCAAAACTCATATACTAATATACTATTCCGGCTATTTCAATGTAACAAATGTGTATATTTCACCATGACCATAAAGGGAGGTGTTAAAGAGAAGATTACCGCAAGCCTCCATGAACGAAGTGCTTTGGAACCCTCTCGAATGCAAATCATTTCAGCATGGGCGGTTGAATCCCGAAGATCCTCCACCCTGAAACAAAACACTATGGTTAGATGAATCCAGCAGGAGAGTATAAAATGAGAAAGGGGTTGAAAAAAAATTAAACTTACAGGTTATAACCCCGAGCGATAATCTTCCCGTCATGGACAAGCACAGCCCCGACAGGTACTTCCCACATATCAGCAGCCTTCTTAGCTTCTACTAACGCTTCCCTCATGAATATTTCATCAGTTGTTCGCCTTTCAGCTTCTACTCTGTATGCTTCTTCCCATTCTTCAAAACTGTCCCTCACAACCTGTTTGTTCCTCAGAAGTTTCCTTTGTGTCAACGGGGAGCCTGTCGATGTGGAACCTGTTTCTTCCTGAGACTTTGCACTTAGAGGCTGTTGTTGTTGTTGTTCCACCTGCTCTCTTAAGCTAATACTGCTAGGTACCATGGTGGGGAGGGACTGTGAAGGTTTCTTTACAGCCGGAGACCTTAGGCTGCGAGCTGGAAATATTAACGGCTTTTGGTCGGCATCGATTTCAGGAACACGAGCCTGGTAGCGTCTTCCTTCTCCCACAGTCACGTTTTGATCGGTAGGTACTTCGGTGGGACTAGATTCTGATGGATTCTTGACAGCAGGAGATCTCATCAGGTTTCGACTAGGCAGCCTCATTGGCACCTCTGTCGAAGTTGTTTCCGAAAGCCGAAACTCAAATTCTCTACCATCATCTACATCCACACCAACAATTTGATTACTAGATGTGGAAGGCATGCTATAGGATGCAGAGCCACCTTCTAAAATTGTGGATGGTGGCGATGATACTACTACACCTTCATGCCTTCCAGATTGCTGCTTCCGCTCCGTTGCATCAGAAGATTCAAATTGGCTCGTTGACGAAGTTTGAGTAACTTCCAGTTGATGTGGGAGAGCAGCTTCTTGTGGCGAAACTCTTTCCACTTTTGTGTTATCCTCACTGCTTCCGTCATGCTCACGTCCAGAAAACCATGTTGCACTGCTAACTGAATCATTCGGTGAACTCTTTCCAGTGGGCTTTGCACTCGAGGTCGGGCTTCCAGCTCGTGAGCCCCACCTAAGACGAGCAATATCGGCGATAACGCTCCACAAGGACCTACCATTTCTTTTGAAGATAGCATTTCCCTCTGCTGCATTGCCTTCTGTGGTTACTGGTTGAGGAGTTCCCTGAGCAGATTCCGTGACCCACATTTCATCTGAAGGTCCCTTTGCTCCTGAACCACCAGATGAACGCCTTGAGTCTCGTCTCTTCAACTGATTACTTTCAGCTCTTCGCTCCTCAGTCACTGAAGTTGATACTTCATGCTTGGCCTTTTTCACAAACTCTCCAATAAATTTCTCTGATGACTGTTCCAACCGTTGGGCAGAACCCAGAGCATCTTCCTGTGTTGTAAATCTCATCAGTTCTCCAGCAGACTGACTATTAACAATAGCTCCTGCTCCTGGATGTTCAAAGGCTGTGGGATAATCAGTTTCTGAAGTTTCCTGAGAACTTTCTTGAATGAAAGCTCCGCCACTTCCATAACTTTGTCCTGAGCCTCTGCTTACTAGCTGAGAAGTAGGAGGAATCAGTGTTGTTTCGGATCCTCGCACCTCCTCTGAAACCAAATCTACCAGCTGCAATCTATTTCCAGATACCAAAGTCAAAGATGATTGTGAACTTGAAGGCTCTTCAGACAGCTGTCCCTGAGAGCTTTGCAAACCTAAGGCCTTTTGACCTTCTTTTTTCGAGTTAGCATGATCTAGCCTGGAGTCTCTCCAAGCACCGGTTTTTCCAGCTTTGCTGTCCAATTGCACAGTTGTAATATTTTCTTGACCAATTAGCCTCTTCTCAGATTTTCTCTGAATTTCTGTATACCTTACTACATCACTAGTATGAGATACCGAGACAGAAGTTCTGTCAGATTGCATATTTTGCGTTTGCGAGGGATGTTGTTCAATATGAGAACCTTGCTGCCTCCCTTCTGATTGCAAACCAATAACCAAGCCAGCATGTACTTCTTGGTTTCTAATCTGCTCTTCTCTTTGCGAGACATATGTATTTTGAATATTTGTGTCATGGATTTCTGAACTTTCAGAGTACCGCTCAGTACTAATCCTCGCACCAGTTTGCGTAGATATCCTTTCTTCCACTGGAGGTTGCTGATTCTTTGCCGCCTCCTGGAAATTTTGGCGCACATTAATACCTTCCTCCTGGCTACTGCTATATTTTGTTCTCCTGCGCATTTCAGACACTCTTTCCTCACTGCTATAACGAGCCTCCAATCTTTCCTTCAGTTGCTGCTGAGAAGTCTGAATATTTTCTCTTTCAGAATCATTAACAATAGAGTGGACTCTCTCGTCCTTCCTTTCACCAAAGATCTTCTGATTTTGGGAGTTCGTCTCCGCGTCGTTGATATGTATCTCATGAATCTCCAAATCATCTTCATAATTTCCCGTCGATTCAGACACTCTATTACTAATCTGTTTCCTTCTTCTTCTCTGGTTCGTAGTCACTGCCTGATTTGAATTTTCCCCTTCCTCAAAGACCTTCTTGTGATACCTCACTCCATTGGAACTCTCGTCTCGTTTCTTCCTTGAGTCCATCTGAGAGACTTCCTTTCTAGATTTCGATCCTTTAGTTGACTGTTCAACAAGCTTCTTCTCTGAACTCCTCAAATTTTCGTGACGAAACTCCACATCCTCCTCTTCATCTTCACCTTCACTCTCGAAATCCCCTGAAGAAGCAAGAGAATAATAAGAAGAACAACTCGAACTCTTTCTCCTTCTTGGCCTAACTTCTCTTTCTTCCTTCCTCCTATAACTCCCCCCACCAGTAACCAACTTAGTAGAACCAAGCCTAGTCTCACTCTCCATCTGAGACTTTTTCTTCCTTCCTCCTCCACAATGTTCACAGTCATTCTTCTCCTCTAACTTCACATTCTCCCTAACCCCATTTCTCTTATACTCATCATGTCTACCAAATCCTTGAGGTGGTCTCTCTACTCCCTCCCTCCTCTTTCTCACATTTCCACCACTGAACTCACCACCATATCTCACTTTCCTCTTCTCTTCAACTCTAATAACTGAGTTACAATCCTCATCTACCAGTTCCTCACTTAAAAACGAGATCATAGCCTCTACATCATCATCATCTCCACAACTCCTCTCACATTCACCCGAAACCCTAACCCTAAACCTTCGATTTCTTGAATAAACCTCAGAATCACAACAATGCACACCGTATTCACTACCTAAAAGACGACTCCCACCCCCTCCTACACCAATCATCAACCTCCTAGTCCTAGGCCACTGGATAAGCGTGGACTGTCTAATCCCATAAAGCACGAATCCAGGGTTTATAGATACCTTAGGCTTAACAGAGGAAGTTGTTGAGTAACAGCAGCAACAACAACACCTTGAGCGAGAAGTAACGCAGTGACATCTCGACGGTTTCGCGAATCGGTGAGTTTCAGATCTCACGGGGAGGAGAGAGCAGTAATCGTTGTGATGATTACTCGGCCATAGAATCGAGTTTGTGTATGTACTGAACATATTTGCGATGAAGAGGATGAGGTAGCTCGTTAGGCAGATAAAAGGAGAGAGCTACTGAGATTTCAGTTTCGAGGGATGACTGGGAGCCATTGTTTGTGTGGTGGTGTCGATGAGATTTACGAGGAGGAAGACGACAATCAGCGAGTCATTTTTAAAAAAAAAACAAAAAAAAACAAACCCAGTCGTACGACTCAGTTGGTAAAAATGTATATTGACTGAGTCGAAATTGAGGAAGCCTTTGGGCTTTTATTGGGCCTATTCGATATATTGGGGCGTCGGGCTAGGCGCCGAAAAATCAAATCGAATCCAATCCAAAAAAAATAGTATAAAATCCGAACCAAGTTGGTTAAATGTCATTTTTCTTATAACACTGTTTGGTTGGAAAAATTCAAGATGATATAAAAAAAGAGACAAAAGAGATAAATATCTAAACGAATTCAAATTTGGTATTTAGAGAACCAAACTTGATCCGAATCAAAATATTTCGAGTACCGAATAGATTTGAATCAGATATGTTAGTTACTTTTGATGTAATATCGAAAAATATCAAAAATGTATAAGATATTTTGAGGCTTTTCAAATATATTTAAAAATATATATAAATAGTAAAAATAAATATTTAGAGCAGTTAAAAAATATTCAAAACACCATTAATATTTAAAAAATTTATTGATTCTCCGTCCAAATATTTAAATTAAATCAAAATTTATATTAGTTAAGATATTTTGGGATTCATTACTCATATTTATATGTTATATATTATTTTAATTTTTAAGATTTTTAAATTTTAAGTACATATAAATTTTAAAATTTTCAAAATAATTTAAACGGATTATTCAAATCTGAACCGAACACACAAATATCCAAACCAAATCCAAATCAAAATTTATAAATATCTTAATGCGTCTGAAATCTCTAACTCCGAAAATCTAAACCAAATCTGAATGGATATCAGAACGTCTATCCCTATTGGGATGTATCTAACGTTTGTAATAGATCAAGTCAAAAAGTGAACCTCGTGTATAATTGGAGTATTATTTAGAGTAATTTAGCTGAATAACGTAAGTGAACTTTTTAATTAGCTATATGGATAGCAATAGGGAGTGCAAAGGTCGGGAGTTTACATTGACAGTAATAACCCTATAGTGAACAATTGAAGTTCGCCTGAACGTGTCAGAGGAGGTTAGTGGCCTAGGGTATAGGTTCAGTAGGTAGAGTACTCCATGTTACGAAAGGTTTGAATATTAAATAGTGTTGTCACTTCCTAGTCGGTGAGTCTTAACTCTCTATTCACTACCCAGATCTCGCAAAAAACTGAAAAACTGCTTCAGATCAAAGGGTTAAAAAAAATGAATTCTGCACCACCAACAATCGACGGCGAGTCATCGACACCAGTAACCGAGGAGATGATCCCAGAAATGATGTTCTCAGCCGGCGAAGAACCGGTCGGAGTTCGAGTTCTTACATACCAATCATCGAGGGCGTTGAAGCGCATATTGAATGCACTGGATGAGGAGGAAAGACTGCAGATCCAGCAATCTTCTTTCGGTAAAATGATCGAGATTGCTGATAAACCTGCATTTTCCGGGAGATTTGCACGATATATGATGTCGCGACAACTGAAAGTGAAGAAGAAACACGAAACATGGTTCAGGTTCGCAGGAAATCCAATTCGTTTCTCTTTGCGTGAGTTTGCCATAGTAACCGGACTTCCTTGCGGTCAATATCCTCCCAAATCCTGCTTGAAAATGAAGGCAAACATCACCGAGAAACCCCACTGGCCTGACCTATTTGGAAAGGTCGACGTCGTTATAGTTCAGTCAGTGATCAAGATGCTTAAAAAAAGGACAGTTAAAGACAGAGAAATCCGTGTGAAGTATGCATGCCTGGCTATTCTCTCCTCTGTACTCCTCCCTACAAATCTGAAAATGAAAATCTCAAGGGAACATGCCGAGGCCATTAAGGATCTAGGAGAATTTTTCGCCTTCCCATGGGGACGAGTCGCTTTTGAAATGTTGATGGGAAGCATAAAGGAAAGAGACGAAGTGAGTCTATCGCAAAATACAATTGCAATCAAGGGCTTCGCGTTGGCACTGCAGCTTGTGCTAGTTGAGGCTGTGCCTTCCCTGACAGAGGTGGTACAAGAAACATGCTCGTCTTCGGAGTCCGAGAGTGATGACGATGGAGACGAAGTGGGAGAGAGGTCAACAAGGAAGCACACTCTTAGTCCGGGACACGCAAGGAACTTGGATAAGAAGGAAAATGTAAGTTAAACTTGTAAAGTTTGGAATTTATTGATAAGATGTAGGTAATTAACAAATAGAAATGTAGTTTATCCGGTTACATTTAGGTTTAAGCACCGGTCATCGTATTGTGGTGGTGTTCATAATAATATTTACTAAGACCGGAATAAAAATTGATTAAGTAAGGTTGTAGGAAGAATAAGTTACACTGAACATCAATTTTGTTGATATTGGGGTGTCAGGTGGCAGTGATGTGCATTTTGGAGCAGGATCCTAATAATTTTGTGGATGAGAAAACACTTAGTTGGAGAGACGAGGTGGTGGATGAGAAGGTGGAGAGCCTAGTTAAGCTAATAACCGCAGGACATCAATTCCGATTAAGTATGTTCAGGGGTGGGATGACGAAGGTTGAGGTGGATCGAATGAAAATGGAAGGAAAAGGCCAGGGAAAACAGAGAAAACAGAGAAAAACGAAGCTGGTAGAAAACAACTCTGAGCATAATCTAATAACAACGATAGTACAAGAGACGGTGCAGGGGAGTTTAGGTGTTATGGAGTGTAAGCTAAATGGCGCTTTGAAAATGGAGGAAGAAATGAAATCAAAGTTGGTTTCTTTAGAGGAGAGGATACCCTGCCTTGTTGAATCCGGGTATGAAAAAATGCGAGAACAGCTGATAGAGAGTTTGACCATGGTTGTGAAAGAGTTATTGAAGAAAGAATCAAATGAAGCACGAACTGAATTTCCAACGCGTCAACAAACAGACGTAGACAACGACTTCACGGAAGGAGAGTATGCTGCTACTATACGTGATGTGATCGACAACATCAGCCAATACTCAACACCTCCGAAAACTGCCGGCCAAGCAACGGTAAGAAATAACCTGTTATTTAACCCAAAACTGAAAATGTTGCTGAAAACCGGGTTTAATTTTTGTAAAAATTGACAGGATGTAGGGGGTGGCTTGGTATGTGACACAGTCTTACAAGCAAACGGCAGCAACTTGATGGACACGGCTGTAGAAACATATTTTGCGCATAGCCAGACATCTCGACGAAACATTGAGGTATGCTTATCAAAAGTAAAACTAATAGTTAGGCAGTTAAGCAAGAAAATGAACATATAATTTGCCATATAGATGTTAGAGTCTGACTTGTAATATGAAACAGTTTCCAGCCACAGAGGGAGACATGTATATGGCAAATTCCCTCGGGGGACAGGTACAATTCAACTCATTTTAAATCCGGATATAATTCGCTATGACTAGTTAATAGTATTTAAATATGGATAGACAGTAATCTTAACACTATATGTTATAATAGGTGAACGTTACGGATAATGTAGATGATGTGGTTGTTACCGTAAGGGGTACATCTAACTATCTGCGAGGAATGCAGATAGAAGGACTTAATGATGTGGACCAGGTAAATTTATAGTCCCTTGATCAAAAATATATTACATTGACTAATTTAGTGAGACATATACTTGGCGAATGTCCGTTTTATTTCGGTAAAATAAATTGTAGAATGGTTCTGAGGCAACGATTGCGGGAGGTGGAGATCAACATAGCGAGCAAAAATCCGCCCTGAATGAAGCAAAAACATCAAAAAATTCTGCACATGGCAAACCCAACAAGGATGTGGACACAGACAGAACGGAGGCAAGGCCTTCGACCCTAGGGCTGGATACGTTTTCGGTAATTTGTGACGCCAGTCGAAAATATCTAAAAAATTGTAATATTTCCGATTGAAATTGCAGGGGATAGAAACTAGGTTCAGCGGACCGGTGACAGAGAATCCATCATTTTCTCTGGGGCTGACACAAGAAGATGCAGACCTGCGAATGGGGGGAGAGAGTAACACAGATCAAGAAATCTCTGATGTCTACAAGAACATTGGTGATCGAGTAGATATAACCATGGCTTGCAGAAAAAGTAAAAGGCAGAGGACAGTCCCTCCTACATTGCTAACCGACTATCAGTGTGCTCCAATTCTTATATCTTGCGTTAGACAGAACGAGATGCGTGTCTTCGCAAACGTGGACCAATCACTGATATTGCAAAAGTTCGAAAAAATAGAGGAAAGCCTACAAACTCACTTGTAAGCACATATATTTAAAAACAAGCATCACCTTTTATGAAACGTAGCACAATTGTTACATATTTGGTAATGGTTGTATGCAGTGTATTGAATGTGGCAGGGGTAGCTGTTTCATCAAAAGACATCATCGATATCATAGAGAGGAAAAAAGTTCAGACAACAAGGGTATGATATTTTATCAGCTCTTTTATCGTGTGTTCAGTAACTTGATTGGTCTAATTGCTGGTGCTCACTAATGTCGCAGGTTGTTGATCTTCTTATGCATCTTCTCAGGACAGTGCGAAAAAAAGCGGTGCCAGAAGTCGGATCTAAAAAGGGCAAAATACTTGATACTAGATTCATGACTTCGATTGGAAGGAATCACCCCAGATTCAAGAAGTCAACTTGTAAAGAAGAATATGTGTTCTCAAAGACTTTGGTGGAGAGTATAGATACAAAGATGGGTGGTGAAGAAGACCCAATGCGGTACTACTTTCCTTTCAATTTGGGGAAGAAAAATTGGGTAGGAATTGTGGTAGACTGCGAAACATGGAAGATTGTTGTCTTGGATTGCAACCAGAATCACTGCAGCGAAGCATACATGATGACAGAGCTTCAGCCACTATCAGAAATGTTCCCGTACATTCTTAAACAAAGTTTGCACGTGGCCGGTGGAGGGGC